AAGATCACTTAAAACACTTGAGATTGGTTTTCTCAAAACTGAAGGAGTTTCAGTTATTTGTCAAAAAGGAGAAGTGTGAGTTTTGTCGCCAAGAAGTGATGTTTTTGGGGCATTGGATCAGTAAGGGCCATGTCAGAATGGATGAGAGAAAGGTGAAAGCCATCCTTGATTGGTCTGCACCTACCAAAGTGACAGAGTTGAGATATTTTCTAGGGTTGGCAAATTACTACAGAAAGTTTATAAAGGGGTATTCCAAGAAGGTTAGTCCTTTAACGGACTTACTGAAGAAAGACAAACAGTGGGTTTGGTCTGAGGAGTGCCAGAATGCTTTTGAGATGCTTAAGCAGGCAGTGTCTACAGAACCGGTCTTGAGACTGCCTGACTTTGGTTTGCCATTTGAAGTGCATACTGATGCCTCTGATAGAGCAATTGGTGGGGTTCTAGTCCAAGAAGGACACCCATGTGCCTTTGAAAGCAGGAAGCTTAAGGATGCTGAACAGAGGTATACAACTCACGAGAAGGAGATGACTGCAGTGATACATTGTCTTGACGCATGGAAGCACTATCTGTTGGGTACTAAGTTTACAGTGGTGACTGACAATGTGGCCAATACCTACTTCAAGACACAGAAAAAGCTTACTCCAAAGCAAGCTCGTTGGCAAGAGTTTCTTGGGGAGTTCAATTTTGTGTGGGTTCACAGACCTGGAAAGCAGAATCAGGTTGCTGATGCCTTGAGTAGGAAAGAAGTGCAGGAGTATGTGGCGTCGTTGACAACGGTGTATACTGATTTCCTTGACAGAATCAAAGAGCAATCTCAGTCCGACAATGCCTATCAGAAACTAAAGCAACAGGTTACTGATGGTGAAGTCAGAAAGTACTGGATTGAAGATAATCTACTCTATGCCAGAGGAGGTAGATTATATGTTCCTGTTGGAGGTTTGAGACGGGAACTAATGCGGGAAATGCATGATCCTCAGTGGGCTGGACATCCAGGGGTGGATAGAATGCTGGCGTTGATATCCAGATCATATTACTGGCCCAAGATGGAGGATGACATAGAGTTATATGTCAAGACTTGCTTGGTCTGTCAGAAAGACAAGCATGAAAGGAAGAAGGAGGCAGGGCTACTGCAACCTTTGCCTATACCAGAGCGTCCATGGCAGTCAGTTTCAATGGACTTCATTTCTGGTTTTCCCAAGGTGGAAGGTATGAGATCTATTTTTGTGGTTGTAGATAGATTCTCTAAGTATGCAATTTTTATTGCTGCACCACATGCATGCCCAGCGGAAGTTGCTGCTGGTTTATTTCATAAGTTTGTGGTGAAATATTTTGGCTTGCCCGAAGATATTGTTAGTGATCGCGACACCAGATTTACGGGAAGGTTCTGGACAGTGCTATTTGGCTTGATGGGTTCTGAACTAAAGTTCTCCACAGCAAACCATCCTCAGACTGACGGACAGACTGAGAGGATGAACCAGTTATTGGAAGAATATCTGAGGCACTATGTCACTGCAAGTCAGAAAAATTGGCTGGAGTTGCTAGACACTGCACAATTCTCTTATAATTTGCACAGGTCTTCAGCAACTGGAATGAGTCCCTTTGAGTTGGCAACAGGGCAACAACCTCGCACACCACAGGAGGTGGCAGTGCAGAGGACAGGTGGAAGATGCCCTGCAGCATACCGATATGCCCGTTCCATGCAAGAGATGGTGGAGGAGGCACAGGACAGCCTTGCCAAGGCTGCGAGAAGGATGAAAAAGTATGCAGATAAAGGGAGAAGGCCATTAGACTTCCAAGTGGGAGACAAGGTTCTGTTGAAGTTGACTCCACAGATTTGGAAGAAGATAAGCAGCAAGACTGTTCACAGAGGGCTGATTCAGAAGTATGATGGTCCATTTGAAGTTGTGAAGAAAGTTGGGAATGTTGCTTACAGATTACAGTTACCTGAGAGACTGAAGGTCCATCCTACTTTTCATGTGAGTTTCCTCAAGCCTTTTCATGAGGACACTGCAGATACATCAAGACAGCAGGCTAAGAGAGCCCCACCTGTTATTCGGTTGCAGTTTAACAAGGAGGTGGAGAAGATTTTGTCTCACCGGACCCAGGGTCAGAGTAAGAAAAATCGCAGAACTGATTACTTGGTGCAATGGAAATGATGCAGCGAAGCAGAGGCTAGTTGGGAAAGAGATGTGACATTATGGCAGTTTGAGAAACAGGTAAAGGAGTACTTGGACAAGTCGACGAGGGCGTCGACTTCTTCTGGTGGGGGTGGTTTGTTAGCCCCTTGACGGTTGTCCAAGGGAAGACATGGGCATTTCAAGGCCATGCCATGTCTTAGGAATACGTTGGCTTTGATTAGACAGCCATGAGGGTGCTCAGTGGGTTGTCAGCGTGCACAAGATGCTCAGCGTGCACACAAGATGCTTAAAAGGATGCTCGGCGTGCACTGGGGGTGCCCAGTGGCACTTTCGTAAATATGGCGAAAAGTGAAACTTGGAGTTTTGACTCGGGATCTTTATGGGAGATACCTTGAGTCCATAGAAGCTGGTTGGCGCAGACGGCACTTAATTTGGATGTCGGGAAAGGTCTGAAAGGCCATTATGACTCCTCAAGCATGGGTGATGTTTACTCCTGTCAGAGTGCTGGATTTCCTTAAGACTATATTAGGGGGGGGTCTGTTGAGCGCATCGGTTGGGCTATGGCATGGCTTGCTTAGAGGGCTTAGCCAACGTGCATGGGCACGTGTTGCACCACTCCAAGATGGTTGCACAAGTGGGGAGCATCCAAGATATTGAAGGGCAAATAAGTATGCACCGACACGCGCGCTGGAGTGCAGCGGCGTGCGTGCGGGCGTGCAGGTTGGCGCGCGGGTAGGCGTCCAACCTAGTGTACGCGAGCGTCTAGCTCGGCATGCACATGGGCGTCCAGGTGGGTGTGCAGCCACGGGTGCATGAGGGTACAAACATGGCGCGCAAAGAAGGGCACTAGTGTGTGCGCCGGCGTGCACTTTGGTGTGCACCCGAGCGTGCGCACGGGCGTGCATGGCTTGGCACGCCGTGCACTCAGAGACATATATATGTGGGTGCAGATTGGTGGACTTGGGCTAGGTTCACAAGGTTGACTCAGATGTGGCTAGAGCATGGATAACACAAAGTCATGGCTTGCGGTTACAAGAGGTGGTGGCTTAGTGGGCTCGGTTGGTTGGGGGAAGTTACTAGCACTTCCCACTCATCATGGGAAGTGGGGGAGTGCTGAGTAACCTCCCAAACATGTGGCACAATTCTGAGAGGACCAACACACAGGCGGTTAAGGGTGGTTTCCTCCACCATGCAGAATCTAACTTCTTGTGGTTATGTGGCATGAGCAGAACATGCCAACAAGTCTAGCAGTTGGGCTTGTCAACTGCATTATAGTGCTGGCTCATTTAGAGGGTGCCAGCACGACCCTAGGTGGATGGGGGTGTCATCCATCATCTTAGTGGGCAGTTATGGGCGGTTTTGAGAGTGGCCTATATAATGCTAAGGTGGGCTTTGTAGAGGGAACAGAGAAGAGGGTGTGAGCCTTGGTTGTTCCTTGTACGAACTCATGTTCCTTTGTAATATGTTTAATATGAGCAAAGGTTGGGGCTTGTCCCTGTAAACTGTGTGTGCCTCCTTTATATTTCTATATTGTGTGTATTGTGTTGTTGTGTTGGCTGAGACTTGGTGGCCCCAAGTGCCATTGCAGAGGCAAAAATTCGTGGTGTAATTTAGCCCTGTGACACCTTGTATAGTAGGGGTGCGCCGGACCGCCAACGAATAATAGGTACCCCCACCCCAGGCAGAGTTAGTAAGCCGTGTAATAGGCGACCATTTCGCGTGACAGAATAATACCCAAACTTGTTGTCCTGAAATTACTATTTTCTCAAATCAGAAGATCACATAATACAGACCAAATTCATCCATTTAATTGCAGAGACAAAATTGGCAACAAAATTACCAACAGAATTACCGATCTGAGAAGATACACACACACACACACACACACACACACACACACACACATATGAGGATGAGAGGGGAAGAAAAAATACAGATCCGAGAAGAGAGAATTTACCGATCGTTTCAGTGTCGGTCGCTGTCAAATATTGCCGATCGTTGCAGATGAGAGGGAGAAAAACGACAGGGCAACTGAAAACGACGGATAGAATGCAACGAAAGGTATAGATTGAGGGAGAGAGAGATTAAACTACATCGTATAGAGAAATAAGAGGCTTGCCAAAAAAAATTGGCAGCTGTTACATTTAAGAGAAAAATTGAGAATGTCAAAATTTGAAGGCCCAAATGAGAACCCTTTTTTCACCCCCTCTCATCGTTGCAGTCGAATCACCTTACCTATTCGGATGCCCTCCGAATCGGGCGGCGTTTGCCATGTACTTAAAAACTCGAACTATTAGGTAATGTTGCATACTCATCCATTTATACACACTTCAACCCCGCTCAAATTCGATGTGGGATAAGTTACACCAACATGTTCATATTAGCAAATTTAGCTATAGTTTGTACGAAAGTTTAATTATTTCTCACATTTTATTATGCACTTAAATTTTATACTCTTATGTTATGTTTGAGGGTATTGAATTGATATTTTGAATTTGAAATTAAAAAAAAAAAAAAAAATTATAAAATTTGAATTAAATTTATTTCAGCTCCAAATTTATAGTATCAATTCAATGCCAAAAATTGGGTTAAGATTTTTTTGAAAGAGAACTTAAGATTGTCATGGCATAAGTTACGGAGTGAAAGTAAATTTATGCTGAGAAAAAATAATTAATTCATAAACCTCAGTGATAGGGTCCTAATATAAATATTATATATACGTGTGTGTGACCTATCTGACTGTGAAGACTGTGATAGGTAGGATGATACCCGTTAGAATAAAAAAAAAAAACAAAAGATAGGGTAGGATGATACCAGTTAGAATTTTAAAAAAAAAAAAAAAACACGAAGAGGAGGAGCTTTGGGCGATGGGGAGAGCGCACAGCAAGGGGTGAAATTGTCTATCGCAATTTTGAGACGGAAAGGACGACATCGTATTATCATTTTGCAACATCGCATGTATAACTACGTTGACGGTTGACCGAAGATTCTGTGAAGAACAAAATTTAGTAGTGATAGGAAAGTACGAACCCCCCTCTTTTTCTGTAGGGCAGATTCTAGGGTTTTTAGACTTTTTATCTCTGTAACAGAGCACGAACGTCTCTCTCTGCTAGGGAAAATTCTCAGGCTTCATCTGAGGTTTATTTATTTCTGTAACATATCAATTATGAGAACTCGAAAGGCCGAAACCCCCAAATCGGCCGCCACAAAGAAGACGCCTCCGGCCAAGAAATCTGCCGCCAAAAATCCTCCCGATGCGACGACGGAATCGGCTACCCCAAAGTCCGCCGAGACGAAGCGGGCCACTGCAGCGGCCAAAGCGAAGCAATCGAAGGCCAATGAAACCACTCCCAGCACCACCACTGATTTGAAGTCCGAATCCATAGGTAAAACTAAACTACGACTTCATCTAATAGTTGCCTACTTGCCTTTTAGTGTGTTTATTACATATAATAATACTGCTGAAATGGTTTTTGTAATTGAATTTGAGTTTTTCAGTGATTTTAAGGGTTGCTTTGGTATGACGTTAGGGTTATCTCGCCCGTGTGCGTGGACGTGTATAATTTATTATATATATTATTGTGTAGGGTATATGTTTGTGTATTAGAATTTGCTAATTGAAGTAATTAATATGTAGTTGAAGAAGCCAAAGCATTAGCTGATGAGGTGACGCCTGAAACAAAAGCAGTTTCAGGCACTAAGACAACTAGAACGGTAGTGAAGAGAACACCAGCAAGAAGTAGGACTCCTGCTTCCGCAAAAGCTGTTTCCAGGCAGACACCCAAGTCTGGGGGAACTGGAAAAGCGAAGGGTAAAGAATCTGCAAAGAATGAAGAGGCGGAGGATGCTAAAGATGTTGAATCTGCAAAGAAGGAAGTACCTCCTGTTACAGATGTTGGGGAAGAACCTGTCGTTGACAAAGTTGAATCCACAGAGAAGGAGGATCACAATATCACGAATCTTGAGGAAATTGAAGCGGAGAAGGAACATATTTTGAATGCTGATGTTGGAAACTCCCCAAAGCAGGGAGATTTTGCAGTTGTAGGAAATGTTGTGAGTTCGTCCGAGAATCAGCAGGAGGAAGAGGAGTTGAATGAAGAAATGGAAAATGAGACGAATAATATTGAGGATAGAGAAGAACCCAAGAATGAGTCAGTTAATATGGAGGAAGAACTCAATGAGGAGTCTAAAGGAAAAGATACTCAAATCGAGGAGGATCCCGAGGAGGATGAATATGATGATGAGGAAGGGATGGAATACGGCATTCAAAGCATACTTGAAGAATCTGGTGATGAAGACCTTGGTGAGGATAATGTGCAGGATCATGATGAAGAAGCTAATGCATTGGAAGTGGAACATGTGGAATTGACTGCAGCGGCAAAGGAACGCAAGATTAAGAAAGAGCTGGAGATATTTGTTGGTGGGTTAGATCGTGATGCTGTGGAGGAGGATGTGAAAAAGGCTTTTGAGAATATTGGAGAGGTAGTCGAAGTTCGATTGCACAAGGATCATTCTACTAACAAAAATAAGGGATATGCATTTGTGAAGTTTGCAAGTAAAGAGCAAGCAAGCCGAGCTTTGTCAGAAATGAAAAATCCTGTTGTACGAATCTTTTCTTAGTCATCTTTCTCTGCCATCGTTGTTTCCTTATCTTTTACAGGAGTGGTTCTAATTTTTAGTTGTTCATAGATACGTGGGAAGAGATGTGGGACTGCACCAAGTGAGGATAATGACACATTGTTCGTGGGAAATATTTGCAATACATGGACGAAGGAAGCTGTAAGATAATACTAACCATAATGCGTATATGCTTGTAACTCTTTTGGCTGATTTTTTTATAAATTGAGATGCAGATTAAACAAAAGCTGAAGGATTATGGCATTGAAGGTGTTCAGAACATTACTCTTGTTTCGGATGCCCAACATGAAGGGTTGAGTCGTGGTTTTGCATTCCTTGAGTTCCCTTGTCATGCTGATGCTATGCTTGCATATAAGAGGCTTCAGAAGCCTGATGCTGTTTTTGGTCATCCTGAGAGAACCGCCAAAGTAGCTTTTGCTGAACCCTTACGAGAGCCAGACCCAGAGGTCATGGCCCAAGTTAAGTCAGTATTTGTTGATGGGCTCCCTCCTCATTGGGATGAAGATCGTGTTAGGGAAAAATTTAAAGGTTATGGGGAGATTGAACGTATTATGCTGGCCCGGAATATGTCAACTGCCAAGAGGAAGGATTTTGGATTTGTTGATTTTACAACACACGACGCAGCTGTTGCTTGCATTGATGGAATGAACAACACAGAATTGGGTAATGGGAACTCCAAGGTATTATTTTTAGCTGCACAATTGTGTGAACATTTTCTTAAGTGGATGTGCTTTGGTATTATTAACCTTGCTCATGTTTCCTTGATGGTACATTACAGATGGTATAGGTGTGATGACCATCAGATTGTAGTGATTTATGTCATTTTCTTTTAAGAAAAAAGATTAATGAAAACGGAGGCTCTAGAAATGATTGATTTTCCCCATTGTAGTTATTGATAGTTGGGACAAGGCTTGTTGAGTTAGTGGTCCTACTAATTTACTTATGGTGACTTACATTTTTTAGAGATTCCAATTACATTGAAGTAAATTTGAATGTTTTTCTATTTACACATGCTTGCTAATAAGTTTTGCGTGATGCTTTTATTTTTTAAACAAAGCATGTTGTATTAACAGAATGAAGTATGTTGTTTCGTGTATCTCCAGACTAGAGTGAAAGCAAGGCTTTCAAATCCTCTGCCTAAAACCCAGGCCGTGAAGGGTGGAATGTGTGGAGGGTTCCGAATCGGCCGTGGTGGTGCTGTAGGTTCTTCAAAATTTGGTAGATAATATAAATCTGGTCACCCTATAACTTTTGGAGAACTGAAACGTCATTGTTCTTTGCAGACAATTTTTGTATAATGTGGTCCTTATTGCTTACAGGAAGGGGTTTTGTACGGGGTGCATATCCATTCAACAGGCCAAACTTTCAACGTGGCAGGGGTTTCTATCAGCGTGGAGGCAGTCAAACTGGTAGAATGAGTTTTGCCAATGAACATGATCTTGATAACCAGTACCCTCCTTTCCATGGAAGGCCAATTTTTGGACGAGGTTTATTCATTGAACCTGCTGAATTTCTTATTATTTTACTTGTCTGTATATATATATATATATATATATATATTTATATTTTTTGTAATCAGTCTGTTATATATTCCGTTAAATACACAGGAGGAAGGAGGGGCTCTTTTGGTGGTGCTCATCTGGGTTTTGGTAGAGGTGCCGGGCCAGCTAGACCTAATAATGATAGATTGAGGCAAGGTGCAACTGACAGAGGCCGCGGGAGGCATATCCCACCTAGGAGGGAACCATTTGCTCCTGAAGAAGGATTTAACAGGCCATTTTTGGGGAGGAACTTTGATGACCCTTATTTTTATGACGACATTCCACATGGGATGAAGCGACCATTTTTTATGACTGTATGCTGCAATTTGTTTAATGTTCATTTTATTTTCTTTTATATCGTAATAATAATGTATTTTGAGGATTCTTTTAATGCCATCGAGTATCACTTACTTAAAAGTTGCTTGGGTATTTAGGACCAAGATCCTGATTACATGGAGCCTAGCAGACTTCGTCCTCGATTAGACTATTCTGATCCAGCAGCTCCGTTTCGTGGATCTCGTTATCGAGGTGTGGATTTTTTAGTGTACTGTTGCTTTTCCCCTACTTGCTTGTATGACCTTTTTTCCCGTCAGATTACTCTTGCTGATATGCCTTCTAATTTTAGATAATTTTGGAGCTGGCGATAGTTTCTATTCACGTGGTTATTATGGTTCTGAAGTGAGTACTCATACATTGTCTATCTTTAGTCTTCCGCTTTAATATACTTACGATATTTTGCCTTCTATTCATGTTACAGTATGGTGGAGGTGCATATTCATCTTTTTATGGGGGTGATCGCCCATATGATGGTGGTTACTACTACTAGATTTGAGAATCTTGGGTAATTTAAGTGCTCTGTTCCAAAATTTTGGCTGCGATTTACTTAATGTTTCAAGGGTTCTTGCTTAACTATGTTATGTTCAGGTGGACATGGGGAGAAAGAATGCAGTTCACTCAATGATGGGATTTGCTTACTACCCCAAAAGGAAAGCTGGATTGTGTTGCTCTCTTCATTTTCTTATTTATTTCTGTTTCAGTTTTTCTTATCGAGTCTTTAGTCCTTTTGTTGTCTTCTCTTTCCCTCTCTCGCTCTCTTTCTTACCTCTGTTCTTTTTGTCAAATTGATATAATGAGTTTCGAAGTGTCTAGTTTAGCTTATGCCTCCCGGAAGGGTTTTAATATAGATAGCAGTACGAAATTATATGGTGGAGTATTGAATAGATATGTAGCTCTGTGCCCTGAATATGAGCAGTTTGAGGACATTGGATATGGGCTGTTGAGATAAGCTTCAGATATTGCTTTATGTCAGTGTTTGTGATCTTTGTATTGGATCGAGCATATATATATTGGATCGAGTATATATATATTGATCCTTTATTTTGAAGCTACATTGAAATGTACAAGGTGACTTTGTTTTCCAGAAGTGAAAAGTCTTAGGTCATGGTTCTTTCATTGATATAGATGCAAACATAACAAACTTTCCTTTTGAAATGCAAGCTCTGTGGAGATCATCTGAATGGTTATTGTGGGAGATATATTAGGTTTTAATTGTATGTATGCCACTCAGGAGTAAGACTTCACAATGGTAATGTTCTAATCTTGAAGATGTTTCCAAAGTCTACCATGTTTTGTGGACGTAATCCTCTATGGTAGTTTTCATGGTCAGTTTGGGTAATTTGAGGAGCATTTCACGGGGATGCTGACCTTTTTTATTTTGCAAAAAAAAGTTAATTGTGGCTTGGGAGCAAATTTACTATATCTGGGTGCAACACGTTTGACTTCTGTTTTGGAGTCTATTATGGATTGAAATGTGATCTTGCGGATTAAACTTGAGGGAAATTTATGATGTTGGTGCTTTATTTTTATCCTAATGAAGTTACTAAGAGCTCAGGAGGCACTATACTTCCTTTTTTACTTGGATACAATGTGTCCATTTGTTGAACACTTTTGTTGTTTTATCCGGAAGGTGTGTGGTATATTCGATGTGTATATATATCTGAAGGAGTGGTGATGACCCAAACAATACGAAGCATTTATATTTTAGATGCATATTTGGAGGAGCGTAAACATCAACATTCCATTTGGATTTAATTTTTTAGGTATTACGCATGGTATATATTTTTTTTCCCGTAATAATCTGGCATTATTGAGGCTATGTTGATACAGGATGATTGCTTATTAGGTGGGATGGACCGCTGTAGTTGGGTGAATCATTTTGAAGTTTCGTTTACTGTTGTCTCAGCAATGTCTATAGATATGTCACGAGTGCTGAACATTTATCATAGGTGATCTTAGTTTGATACTAAATGATTTGATGGACCTGTAAATTCAGCCAGCCGGTCAGGAAATTTCATTACTCAATTCGGTTTTACAAATTCTTGCTGTGTTTTTTTTTTGTTTCAAATGAAAGATTTAGGTTTTATCCCAAGTTGCTACTTTTGGTTTCTTGGTTGAGGATTCAATACTCCTTAATTAAATCAAGTAGATAATGGGTTGATGACCTGATGTTGTGTTTTTGTTTTTCTGTACCTTGGGTGTCTTTGTTCGGTAGGAAAAATGATTTAAATATGTTCTCGTTTAACCTTTTCAAGGGGCATGGTTTTATCTGAAAAATGATTGAAACATCTATCTGATTTCTTAATAAAAAAATCAGCTGTCTTTTTTTTTTTTTTTAATGTAGGTTAGAATACTTCTTATGAATATGGTCCATCTCAAACTTAATCCTTTGAAAGACAGATTTGACCTGTTGCCACGAAAATCTGAACTTCTGGCAATGTTGCTTCCTTATTTGCATCAAAACTAAAAGAATGTATTGCATGTTAATGAAATCTGAAGTTTTGGAATGTGACTAGAACTATAATTTGTGCCTGTCGTTTTGAGAAAAGGAACTGTTAGTGGTCACTCAGTTGTATCATACTGAAAGAAGAGTTTTCCAAATATCACATTTTTCTTATCCTTGCATGATTAGAGCATATCCTTTGGTTTGTTTTTTCCTGGTAATTCTTTTGGAAACAGAAGTATTTATTTAGTATAGTTTAGATTTTGAAAATAACGGAGGGATCATCTGATTATAAGAAAGAATCTGTCTGATTTATGTTTGTTAAATTTATCCAGTTGGGTGATCGTCACACAACGTTTAAGTGGACACAGGTTAAATTATAACTGACACCAGGCTTGATGGTTTTTCTTTCATCTTCAGCAGTTAGCCTATGGTGTATGTGATACTGTTACTAGAGGGATACTGATAATTGTCGTTAGCCATTTTGCTGGATTACAAAAAGTGCGTATTCTGTGTATTCTTTAGTCATAACCAGAATGCTTTCATTTGAAGCAATCGTCGCTCTAGATTTTACTTTTGTTCATGTAGTATTATTTATTCCTTTCTTGTCAATGTTCAGTTATTTAACTTCCGCGATGTTATGGAAGTAAGGAAAACTGGATATTTTTCAAATCCAGGTCGGTAAAATCAAATTTAGGGTCGGATTTATCATTTACATGTGAGATATTAATGAGCCAAAGGAAAGGAAAGTTTATTTTTGTGTTTGGCACAAATTTGATGATCTACTGAACCAGGGGTTGTGTATTCCATCTTTAACAGAAATAGCATTTTGAATTTTTGATCTTATTTGTATCCTATAAACTTCAGGATCATTCATGCAATTGAGTTTATTATATTAGTAAATGAGATAGTTATGAACCTCGAATGTGGTAATGAACCTAATGTATCTAAAGTTTATCCCATTAACTTTATGTTTGCTGCGATTCTGGTTTGAGTAGTTTGTCATGCACATAACAATTTTCTACCTAACTGTACTATAATCTGAAGGTGGAATAATGAGAAGTGGTGGTAAAATGTTCCAACACTTTGGTTTCTGGGCATGGTGGATACAATATCGTAAAATAGTGGTGTGAGGTCAATTTAATAGCTATTGATATAACAATTTATTATTTTCTAGAAGTATTAAAAATCTTTGTTTCTTGTTTTTATTTTTTTATTTATTTTTCATAGCAAATTAGGCAGAGTGGATCTCGAAGTTGGGTGCTCTACTAATTAAGTCAGTCGGTAATGCACCTTAATTGTTCTTAATCAGTGAGCAACTAGGCCTTGCCTATGTGGGCGAGTGCACACTCATGACTCTGTATATTACTATATGTAAATTCGTGTTGCAATTAAATTCGCATAAGAATTTTTTTTAATCATACCTTTTATTATAGTGAGGTCTTGGCGCACTCTTGACACTTGTGATCCAATATATGTTTTATTTATTTATATTTTTGCTACTTTCTTTTTCTTGTTCTCTCTAGAAATCTCATCAGCTTTATAATACGTGAAATGTGAAAAGGGTATTCATTCCAGTTGGAATATCGTTCTTCACATGTAACCTTCTTTTGAACTGTGGATATATTTTTTTTATTATTTTGGACACTTTTAACATTTTCAAAAAATACAAAAACTAGTAGCATTCTATTCTCTTTCTATGCTCTCACTGTTAGGCTCTATTTGGTTTGTAGGTTTAAAGTAAGGGTGGCAAATGGACGGACTTGGTCGGGTTTGGGTTGGGTTAAAAACGGACGGGTTAACATAGGTCAAGACTCATATTTAATTCATTTAATTTATTACGAACGGATTAAAAAGGGGCGGGTTGAATATGGATAAGGTCAACCCGTTATGACCCGTGGATCAATTAATTATTATTTTTAATTATCTATTTATTTTTTTATTTTTAAATTTTTTTTCTTATCTAAATACGTTGTCAAGATAAATAGACGTTAGTCGGGATAAATATGTATTATGTAACCCCCATTGAACATCGGTACACTCTTTTGGCCTTTTATGGATTCCCATTTAACATAAAGAGCATTTAAGCATTTCTTCCATTAATTTATACAAAATTCTATAAACAAGCTGAAATTGGGTTAAAACAACAAATGTTGTACTACGGAGTATATTCCTAGATTTAAAGGACCAACAAAAACAATAAATAAGTATTCCAATTGCTATCAAAAGAGCCACATCCAAGGCAATAAAATAATTATGATCTAGAAAACTGATTGAAAGTTGTTTGATACAAAACAAGCAGTATTCTGTATCATAATAAGATTGAAGTCGTGAATAAATCTTTACTTGTATCACTCCAAAGAAAATTCACTGAAACATGGGCATTATCCAAACTAAAAATATGGTTTTGGAGAAAGTAGCATTGGTCCCCCTGGGCGCTCCCCCCTTATTTTTTTAATTTTTAAAATTTTTTTGCATAAGGTTTTAATTTTCTTTTTAATTTTTATTTTTTAAAATTATTTTTAATTATTTATTTTTTTTAGAAGAAATTTCTAGAGAGAGAAACTTAGAGAGAGAGGGGATTGATGAGAGACAAATTTAGAGAGAGAATATTGTGAGTGAGAAAATTTTAGAGAAAGAAATGAGTTGAGTGTAATATAGAATATGTGTGCGTTGTGTGTTTATTATGTGATGGGTGAAATATGGGTTGAATATGACCTTCAAATTAAGTGGTTAAAAATTACCTAATCCATCTTGACCCTCAATTAAATATGGTTCACCCATAACCATTAAAAAGCGAGCGGATATGGTGCGTTGATGGTTTCTGACTCATTTTGCCACCCTTAGTTTAAAGTAAGAAAATGACAAAATATACTTCTAATTAAATAACCTGAAAAAATAATGAAGAAAGAAAAATGTATAAAGAAAAACATTGGAGACATTATTAGTTCAAGAAGTTGAATCTCTCTGGAAAAGTATATTCTATTACTTTTTGAACCCTTGAACTTTGTAATAATCCAAAATTTTTATTTTTTATTTTTATTTTTATTTTTTTTATGGATGTTGTTTTGTTGAATAAATCCTCTTTTTGTCAGAAAAAATATATATATATACTAAAAGGAAGTAAAGAAGGTAAAAATTAAAAATAAATTTTATAGTGAAAAATACAGTTATGATATTAGTATAAAATAAGGGATATTCCACTAATGAGTTTATGAATTTTTTTTGTCATTTCTTTTATTTAAAAAATAAAAAATAAAAAAATGAAGTGTAGCGTAATTGTAAAAAATTGGAGTGTAAATAAGTGTATGTACATGAGATGGCCTTACATTTATGAATTAACTTTTCCTATCTTCAAGTTTTCAACAGCCAAGGAGTCGTCATCATCTATCAGAAAGGGCAAAAAAAACAAAACTATATTTTTAGTATTGCTACTCACTCTCATTTCAACTGAGTCATCTGTTAATATATATATATATGTATATATATATATATATATATATTCGTTGTCATTGTGTTTCCCTAGCTTTTAAAAGTTGCTTGCTAACATAATATACTTATAACTAAATATTTGAGAGTGGATTGATGACCGACAGATTGGTTCAATCAAATTCTAATTTGGAGAGGACACTGACGAATGCTGAGGAAACCAGATGAACATATATTTCACAGAGCAAATAAAAAACAAAATCTAGAGGAAAATATATAGGAAATTGGTTCAGCAATAAATTCATAATACTAATAATTACAAAATGCAACAACAGGCCATGCCTTGAGCAGTCTAACGAGGGATATCCATTTGAACTAAATCCGCAGTGATTATGCAAACGAGACCTCAACCCTGATTGCATTATCCTCTGCCTCTATAAGATCCAATCAAGACACTCTACTTTTACAAACCAGTTCCTATTGTTTTTAAACATATACTCAAATGTAAAATGGAAAAAAGAAGAAGAGAATTTTCAAATGCTTAGGTTCCCAGAAGAACGAAAAAGAAAAGGTAAAGCATTCCGGTTCCTAAATCTATGCAATGGTAGGTTACAAGTCTACAAACAGTTTTTTGTTCATCCCAGAGAATTACAGATGTGCTTTCCCACCGCCTGTGAAGTCCAGACCCTCATCCGCAAGCTATTTTTGGGAACTGTAGCGATTTGTACCGTGCCTGGCCCAGTTGTCCTTGAGATCAACTGGAGTGGACAAATCATGACCCTCGGCAGCAAGCCGATTAAGCAGTTTAGTGAAGGCACTTCCACTCATCTTTCTGCCCCCAACTCGGGAATAGCGTTTATTAGACACCTGCGGCAGTGGATACATTGACATGGTGGTCGTGCAACAAGCTGATTGCCACCCGCCATTCCCCCACTTGTAGCACGGCTGAGGTGCTCCTGTGCAAGAACAAACTGGCACTGGCATGGTAGATTCATCAAAATCGACCTGGTTAAACCCCAGCTCATCCTTCCAGACAACAAGCTGCCTGTCCAAGTCGTCATCATCGCCCCCCAAATCCTGCTCATTTTTCCAAGCATTTGATGTAGCAACGGTCATCTGCTTGTTCAAAGCTTCAGACCCTTTTTTACCCTTTCCCGAAGACTTGGATGACTTCTTTGCTGGAATTGCTTTGGTCTCCTTCGTTTGTTTCACCTTCCTGGTTTTGGCAGTCTCAGAAGCAACTCCTGTAATTGGGTAAGCATCGCTTGGTGGATCTTCCCTAGAATATTGTGCATCTTCCAGGAAGTGGGGCATGTGATGCATTTGCTGCTGGTGGTGAATGTGTTTTTCTCCACACATAATTCCATTTCCAGATGAATCAGGAGTCATGGTATTTTCCTTCATTGAACTGTCCCAGAATCGAAGGGTAGCAATAGCTTTATCTCGTTCACCCATAGCCGAGTTACGCTCTGCAATTGCAGCATCTCGCTGCAGCATTGCCATATCTCGCTCGGCGAAGGCTCTTTTTCTCTCGTCTAGCGCCATATTCCGATCTCGGATGGCAGCATCCCTCTCAGCCATGATGGACATGTATGTCTTTATCGTCAAGTGATTGTGATCCTTCATAAAAGCACAAGTTAGTTAAGGGATCTAAGTGCCTTGCTAATAGCATGGGTTGGAGAATAAAGGCTGAAAGCTGAAACAAAGATTTTACCATGATTGCCTTCTCACAAAAAGTGCCCTTGTTAACCTCTATAGTATACCGACACAAATTAAGCTAGAAATGAGATCTCAGGTCATGACAAGAATCACAAGATCATACAATCAGCATGTAAAAGCAGAGCTAGAATTCCATCCTCAAATATGGCTGTTGCTGCAGTAGTGAGAATAAATTCTAGTAAATCTCAAAGCAAGGGGAAAAAACAAAAAATCTACAAAAACCAATTATCAACATATAAAGTCATCTTAAAATTAAAAGCTGTTAGAAAGACGGATCATAATCAATCCCACTGTATCTGCTTAGATGCACTGATTCTTTGGAAGGCAATGAAGTATTCTTTTAACAAAAGCATTGAACAACCAATACATATTCAATACCGTTACCAGCTGAGCCCTACAAACATTTCTTATCCAGTACCACTTTTATGTCATACAGTGAATTATTGACTCGAATCACTACCACATTACATGCTGAGCCCTACATTTCTTATCCAGTACCACTTTTGTGTTACTGTATAATAGTGAATTATTGACTTGAATCAATATCAAGGAGTAGCTAAAGTAATTAACCATAATCAAACATTAAGACCATACTAGTAGCAGCATATTTTGAAAAACAGGACAGGACATAGGATCGAACATTAAAATGTAGAATCTACCATGCATTGAAAAATCAACTAAAATTTTGCAGTATCCTGCTGTCCTCTTTCCCCGAGGTAAAAGGATGGCCAGACATGATGTGTGAGAACAGCATAAATCAGCCACGAAATAGCAATGCTATGTAAGTAAAGAAGAATCAGTTGGATTACAACAACCAAGGAACTATAATTACCAAATTTGTTAATGATGTGATGATTTCAACATAGGAAAAACATTTCAATTCCTCACACAAGAAGCAAGGGAGAGAGAGAGAGAGATGCTAATGTCTAATAATTTCCCTAAAAGAATAATTCATAAAGAATATTTTTATACAAACAGCTACACTGTCAAGTTCGTCAATAATAAATCTTATTGGAGTCAAAGTGCATCCATAGATTTCTAATATTGCATCTACCAAGTTATGCACGTAAACAATTAAGGGGAAAAAAAAGTTATGCATGAAAATAGTTAACAGCTCCATGAAGTTGAACTAATGTAAACATACTTAACAAAATACTTATAATTGCCTAGTACCTTGGATTTCATATATGGAATCACAAGGCTGCTTAACATTTCTATACTGGGAACAGAGCATAATATCATTGACCAAACAGTCGCATATATGTTTGAATTCTCATATGGTTTTTTTTTTTTGTCATAAGTTCGTATGGATTTTTCTCTATGAGAAAGTCTTTATCAGAAGAAGACGCATCAAATTGTTAATGTAGTTAGCCCTAGAAGCTGGCATGATTCACCATAATTGCAATGCCTCTAAAACATCATTCCGCTATTTCTTTTACTTGCAGAAAAACCCAATTAATAATGTAACTAAACATTTCTAAATATGACGATTGTGACTGGTTCACCTTGTGGCTTGTTGGCTTATGGCTTCAACCCTAAACCACAAGGCCAAGGTTCGCGAATGATAGAACGTATGCTAAATATAATGATTGTGGTCTTCCTTACCCTCTTTGGGGTTCATTGCCCAACTTGGCTGGTGACGTGCTTACTGGTCATAGAAAATTGTAGAATTAGGAAGAGAAACAGAGAAGTGAGACGAGTTGCCCTGCTATGTCCATAGTTAAGTATTAGGGTGAGAAGGATAGAAGGCATAATATGCTGAGCTCTCTTTCTTCTTCGGATCATAGCTGTTTTCTGATTGATTCTTTAGTAGAGATTCTTGGTGTGATGAGAATCTAATTTTGTATAGTTTGCTACACATACATCGTGTGTATATTGTCACACTCAAAGTCACATGACCCGCCTATAAGGTGCTGCTCTCGCGCTCAAAACTCGAATTGGCACTATGAGAGCAATCCCTTCGCATTTCACTTCGGTTCAAGAATTCAGTCTTGTAAAACCATTGATTGTGGACAGTTTCGCATTTATCGAATGATGGACAACCATGTGTACGCGTGGCCTTTATTGTAAATTGAAGTGAACCAAAGTGCACCTTAATCAACTAGAAAGGTCCTCTACTAGATTGAACCTACAACATTAAGAGAGATTTCTCGACCTATATTCATCAAAAAGTTAAAACACAGTATAAAATTAAGAGAGACTTGCTCTTCTAAACTTTCTTGAAGTATTTTATTCAAGTAAAAATATTAAAACAATATCTCCTAAAGAATTTAAAATAAATGTAGATTTCTTCACCTATATTCATTAAAAATAAAAACGCAGTATAATGGAAATATTATTATTTTATACTATATATCTCCTAGTGTGACTGTGAGAAAAGGTGCATTAACCAGTGTATCTTGCCTATGCATGTTATGACCTTAAGTTTTTATCATGGCAGCAAGCAATGGCCCCTAGGATATGTAGATATCCATTACACATATCACATATATATATTAGTAATTAGATGTTCAGGCACCCCACTATAAGTAAATTTAAGATTTTGCCACTTTCTAGCTCCATCTTTCGCACTTACTCCCCTCTGTGCGACTTAAGTCACACCCTTTATTGGTGTCCAAGGAAGCTTCTATTTATTAAAAAAAATGAATTGGAGAAATAATCTTTTACTTATACCAACCATGCTTAACTCGCATTTTAACTAGGCAAAAGTAATTTGAAAATCAAAACCATCCCAATTTTCTTAGTCACTCCCTGGGGGATGTAACAACTCTTTAACATATACTAGATTAGACTATATTGTTACAAAAACTAAAGCCACAACACTATTCTACAATTGTTCTTCAACTAGGCAACAACTATAGACAGGTGGGCATTCAAAAGGTTCTCCATATGTTATCTTATTCTCGATATAAAGGCTATTCACTTATTATTTGGTGTTGGTTTGTTTTTCTAGCAGTTTTGTCAGCTGCATATCACAACCAACTTCATCCCAAGTGGCAAATACGAGAAATATATGTTGAAGCTTTTTTCCAGAAAATAGAAGGAGCTGGATATAAGACATATAAGCATTTTTATTCATTATTTGAAAGAATGTGTCCCTACAAATCATATAAACTTGCATAAAATCTTGAATTAACGTTTAAGAGTGATAATTCATAAAAACGATTAAACACCTGGGATCGCTGAAGAAGCTTGTGGAATGGACTCTTAAGCAGATACTTATGCATTTTGATCATAGAGATTGTCAAGGACTCTTCAACGTTCACAATTTGCTACATGAACAAATTTCACAACAGCTTGATGGAAGTTCCAAAATAGATTGCATGAGAAAGGAAGCCAAGGTGATAACATATTCTGTTATAAACAAGCCAACAACGCATAAAAATCAGCAGCTTATGCGTGTCCATAAGGTCAAAGCAACTTCTTATCCTTTAGTTTCGGGGTTTTGGTCCCTCAGGTTTTCATGTGGCATCTTGAGGAAGGTTGTCACATAACAGAAAAATTAATAATTCTAAATATCTTATTAGATGTTATTACACATTCACTTATATTGATGCTGGGAATGTCAAACTCATGTAATATATGTAGTATTTTGTTTTGTATTTATTAACTTTATTGACGTTGGTATGGTCTGGTTATATTAGTTTGGAAACTTACAATGGCTATTGCACTCTTTTTCCTTAACTGGCACACTTTATTGAGCCAAGAACCATACCTGATATGAACACATTGGGTGCCATAATTAAGCCAGGGAACAGAATGGCACAATTTATTTAAAGTAGGTAATGAATTTTGAGTTGCAGTTAACAATAAAAGGTTAATAGCTTTTTCCCTGGATTTTTTTATTTTTTATAATAAATAAAATTCAGAATGAACTCTTGGGATCTTTAAGAACAAATAAATAAATAATAAGAACAAAATAAAAAATGCTGTTTAAATTTTAATAACAAAATAAAATATAAACAGACTTAGTATTTGCAACAAGTCTAATATATACTACAATAATCATAAAATTTCTAGGAATGTAATAGTGTAGAGTGTAGACAACTCATCTTTTTAAGAAAATTCAAAATTAAATTTTAAGAATGCCATCATGCCACGTAACTGACATTATCAACAACTATATTCCCTCCTAAGACTTGCATCAACCAAATGAGGACCTTAAAGAGGCATATGGCTTTTAAAGCAAGTCAATCACGACTACTTAGTAACAATGTGAGTGTAATTCAAATTGGCTTTTGAGAAAACCTGCTTAACAAAATCATGTCAGAAACCTATATCAAATTTTCCTACTCACCGTGACCACCACAATATAATATATATATCTATTCAATTATATATGCATATATATATATATATATATATATATGCATATATAATTGAATACCACTACACTAGATTATAAAAATGTCAAAAACAGTATGTAAGATGTAATCACCTCAAAAAGATATCAGACAGGTTAGATTCTCCTTGACAAGTTTTAGGGACTAATGATGCCCAACCCAGTTGAAGTTGGCTGGTGAATGCAATCCAGGCATTTAGGAAGTGAACCTGGCTTAGATGTTTAAGAAACTTAATGAGATAAAGTGTTGAAATTTTCTTTATATTCCTTGACATGCCACAAAGTTGAACAGTAACAAAATCTTGATTCCAATATTTAGTTCATTATTTGATCCGAAACCCTTTACAAGCCATCAGTACAGTACTTTGGTAGAGAGAGAGGAGGGGGGCTGGTTGAGAGGATTACAACAATTTACAACGGCCCTTTTCATCAAGATTAGAAGTCCATGAACGAAAAACCTCGTGTGGCCTAGGCGTGTGTAAGGCTAGTGATATAGGAGACAAAAAAATAACCTCCCCCTTCCCCCCCCCCCCCCCCCCCCCCCCCCCCCCTCTCTCCTTTTCCAAAAGATCCACTTGCTTAGTCTCAAGCAGGCAGTATTTGCAATATAGGATGTAGAACAATGTGTACACGTTTTTAAAGCACTTGTGTAACGCTCTCCTAAGTTCCCTTATCTTTAGGAACCCTTCCCTTGTAGAACCCTAAATCTATGCTCTATGCTTCTACCCTAAATATGACAGACTGAAAATTGACAGAACTTATTTGTCGACAAGGCATTTTATGGCAAGGGCTCAGAACCAACCATCAATACTAGTGTAAGCCACATATGTGGTTTAAATGTACTGGGCGATGTAGAAATTTTATATCTGAAAACATCAACTGAAGGCTTCTACCCAAGGGACATTTGTTGAGATAATGCAATTTGTGATAGAATAAAAGATGCATGCATAATCAACCAACTCAACCTGGAGAACCAAAATGAACTGATCAGTTGACAGATCTCGTTCCAAGAGCCACCAAAAATGATTTCACTTGTCCAAAAGCATATGTTGAAGAAAATGACAATTTAATACAAGATGCGAACTCAAATTTATTACAAGATTCAAACTCAAATTTACTACAAAATCCAAATTCTATAGAAATAACTAAAGGGCATTGGTAAAGAAAAGAATGACAAACAGAAATCCGGGATGCCATAGAATATTTGAAACCATTCTCTCATTGTCAGTAACCCTTACCTTTAACTTCATGCCTTTAGCCACATCATATAATTTTTTATTTTTTATAAGTGAAGATTCATTGAAGAGCGCCCAAAAGGGGGGGCGCGGCCCAAAACAACTGCACAAAAACTATAGCCTCAAGCTATCCACAATATACATTAGCTACTGCAGATAATTCCTAGACTTTCAAGCTTGGTTATGCAGTGGTAAGAATTTACCACATATAATCAATGCTGAGATAACAGCATTGATAATATTTTCTCCCTCTTTGAAATATTTACTTGAAATACCAAAATAATAGCAATATAAAGCAATACCTGTGTGTTTGCGACAAAATCATTTTATCTATTGAACAAGTTACCAACAGGCCAATGGCCTAGCGGTGCCAAGCCCCTACTTCCCAAAGGATGATTAGGGATTCAAGCCTCAGTGGAGGCACGTGTGTGTGAATAACAACTAAGAAAAATATATATATATATATATATATATATATATATATCGAACAAGTTAATAACAAAAGCTATTGTTAAATCCACCCTTCAACCATAGTTATTCTTAGGTCTTAACCATATAATTTAACTTTAAGAACCTCAACAATATAATTTTCATGTTAGAACAAATATTGCCGATGTCCATATGGTCTTAGTTGCCTAGTTAGTCATGCATTTAGTCTCGTGATTCGTGACAAAAGAAGTTTCTCCCATATATATTTTCCATCAATAAGATTATAAGAGTTATGCAGTGGGAAGATTTTTTTTCTCTATAGAAGCTAATAGTGAAATCACTTTATTTTTGGGAGGGAAGCTTAGCAAACCAAACGTTGAAGGTAATGTAGCTTCGCCAAAGAAAGTTCTCTTCACCATGTGCCTTGGCACAAAACTGAGAACTTAAACACTGCTACTATACTAAAGTTTAATCTGGTGGTATATTGAGAATATACCACACTTTTCAACATCTCTTTCACACGTTTAAATGCTCTAGGCTATGAATGGTTAGATAAAAGATACTACAAAAGTGCTGCAGATGGATAAAATTCTAATTGTTAGGAGTTTGGGTAGCAAGAAAATCAAAAAAAAAATTTTGGGAAAGTAGGATTCCTTCAACTACTTAAATTTTTCAAAAAGTTTTCCTTGAAAAATACACAATTAGTTATCGTGAAGTGGTGGTCTAAATTTCATCTTCCCAGTATGCCATCAATCACTTCTCTTCTTCATCCATACCAGAAATATGCAAGTATGTCTTTTATATATTTCTTTCAATAATCTGTTTCTATTTGCATTTTTTTGAGATTCCAAACAAGTTTATGGAGTTTTTACTTTTCAAATTTGAATTCAAAGATGTTGAGTTTTAAATAATTGATATTTTTCCTAAAAGTTGGAACATAAACAATTTGGTAAAAAAAATGATTGATTTAAAACAAATTCATTTACATTTGCTACTTAACACAAATAAGGGCAGTGATGGTAAATAAAAGAATTTTCTTGTAACCAAACAGAAAATAATGCTCTAGAAATGGTATAGATCTTTTCTCTGGCCAAGACCATTTTTTTAATTTTTATATATGAGTGTCTATTGTGTGTACACATGTGTGCATATATATATATATATATATATATATATATATATAATGTGTATAGACCAGAAAAATAAACATCAACACTCTCAATCTCAATCAACCCGAACACTTTCTATTACAGTATGTGTTACAGAGCGACAGTCCTACAATTAAATTTCTTTAGAGGTCTAAATGTTACTGTGCGAGAAATGAAAGCTAGAAAGGTCTCTTCCATGGCATCATTTCCAATACCTAAAATCCCTAAACAGAGTGACAAAAAGTCAACAAACCTAAAACAATGTTTCCTCCATTAAACAGGTTTAAACACAGATCACTGTCTTATGGAACCAATTACACCAGTAAATGATCAATTTCAAGACACAAATCCAAAAAAAATTTAAAAAAAAACTTTAAATAAATTTGAGTACTGTCTATACACACACATACAAGATCAAGAGCTATGGTTACCAAACTGAAATCAAGTTTTTTAAAAAAAAAAAATTAAAAATTGAGCATACCGAAATTTAAGAGCTAAAAGTGCTAAGAACACCGATCAAGTGGCGAAATTGAAAAGGGTCAAAGAGATCGAGAAAAAGAAACGCCATTGAAGAGTTGTTGAGAAGAGAGAGCTTACAGAGGGACGATGATGAGAGAGAGGGTCGATGGAACCAAGAGAGAGAGAGAGAGAGAGAGAGAGAGCTGATTCTGAATCTCCTTGTGTGATGAGAAGTATCTGAATCGCTCTTAGGGGAAGAGACTTTCTCTGCGTCTCCCTACCTACATTCTGCGAAATGGGACACAGATTGGGGGTGCTGGGACAGGGATAAGACGCCGACGTTTTCTGCCTTTTAATGTTAAAACCACGACGTTTAGATCAGGCGCCGCAACTTGGCACCGGTCGGACTCGGGCTTTCCCCGAAGCTGTGTTGAAACGCGTCTATACGTACAAGACCCCTATCTCAATATATATTACGCAGTAGTGTCTACAACAGTCCTACGTTGAGTTTGACCCACAATAATAGCATTTAAAAATTATTTACTATCTACCAAATTTGACTAAATAATTATAGATCACATGTACGTTAATAATATTTGTTTATTCTCAAATTAAATGTCTGTCTTTTCAATTTTTTTATCCAAAAGTTAAATTACTATTTTTTTTTTTTTTTTTTAACATTGTCAATTTAACATTTTTAAAAATGTAAACCTATCAACGGATATATTTGATAATTCATTCACTACTAATATAATAAAAAAAATATTAAAATTCTTCTTAAAAAGTTAGATTCCCATAAACTAGACGTTTAATTTGGAATGGATGGAGTATTTTACATTGGTAATTAAAAAAAAAAAAAATTCTTTTTTCAAAACATTAATGATATAATCCCTCCGTCCTATAATAGTTATCAGTCTTTTCTTTTTGGGTTGTTCCAAAATATTTGTCCACTTATCAAATTTAAACAACATATTTCACATTTTTCCATAAAATAACCTTAAAATTTTTAAAAAATTCAAGCTTGATTATATATATATTTAAACTTGAAAGGGTAACTTTGTAATTTTGAAAGGGGACAACACAATAATTACATGTCTCCTTAAAAAGTTTTATTCCCCATAAAGGACATTTATTATGGGAGGAAGTAGTGATACTCTAATAAAATTAAGTAAGTAAGAAATGAAGTCATCATAACATCATTATATTTAATGATGTCATCTCTAATTATATAAAAACATGAAACTACAATGGTGGTATAACGGGTGAGCGCTTACCTATTTTTTTATTTTTTTAAAAACTCAAGTGTTGAGTAGTGATGTATACTCATCTATTTATACACACTTCAACCCCCACCTGAACTCGAGAAACGCTATCGTTGCTGTTGGGCCACCTTGTCTACCCGAGGATCAAACTTGGATATTTGGTGCGACACCAGATTAAGGATTGTATTTGGCTTTGATACTAACTGTAAGGGATAAATGCTTGTCCATTGACTCAAAAGCTCAAGTTATTAAGTAGTGTTGCATACTCACTCATTTATACACACTTCAATTCCCATTCAAATTCGATGTATGACGAGTCTCACATGTAACAAGTGGCCAGTACTGGACAAGGAATTTTTCTGAGGTGAAAAATAAACTCACCAAGGTCAAAACACACCTGACTTAAATTATATTCACAATTTTCACGTGATCACATATATCAAAGTTTATACAATAATATATGAGTTTAAAGTAGTTAACGGATGAATTAATTCTTAGTTACAAAAAAAAAAAAAAAAAAAAACCTTAAATCATGGACCTTTTACTTTATAAGGTGAAGACCTACCACTACACTATGAATCTTAAACAAAAATTGATTAATAAAATCATAATCAATGTTTCAAACATATCTAAAACATTTTATATGAATATAAATTTTTTTTCCCCAACAATTTAAAAACAACATAGTATGCCAACTACGTTACAAAATGGACCATGATCCACTCCATTGCTCCTATACTTCGTTAGTGCATCCAGTAGAGAGCCAATAATAAATATTAAAAGATTATTTGTTATGAAATGGATGAACCAAAAAAATATTAGTTATAGTGGAGAACATCCTAACCCACAAAAGGAAGAATATTGCATTTATTTGTGCTACGGTTTTACCATTTTGTCTTACAGGCTATTGATTTTATTTATTTATTTTTCACACATCCACTTATTTTGCTCTCGTTGAGATGTGAATATGTAATTTTTTAATTTAAAAAGTTGAGAAGTTACATAGAACATAACTACGAGTATATCACTCTTGATAACTTATCCATACATTGTAGGTCTCATTATTTTTGCTTTTGCTTCTTTAAAGCATTCCAAACATTATGGTTGATTTGTCACATAATATTAACATGAATTGTAAATATAATGGCTTATTAAATAATATTTGCAAGAATATTATTATTATTATTATTTTCTTTAGTCAGACTATTCAAATCACGACCTTGAATCAATAAATAATTAGTCAAAATTTATGGAAATTGATGCATCAATCACAGGAGAGTTTAGTCCGTTGTGGAATATTCAAATCACATAATTGCATGGCAAGAAAAATAATATATATAAAATGCGGACATGATATATCATTCAAAGAAGGAAGTATTTTGTTCTTTTTTCCATTTTTTTTTTTTTGGGAACGTGAAGGAAGTATTTTCTATACAAATTTGCATGACAAAAAGAACAAAATATGGACTTGGCAATTGAAGACATTTTCTTTCTGTCATTGTTGTTTTTCTTTTCTTTGTTGGAACAAAAAGTGAGTACTTCAATTACACTGTTTGAATCCATTTTAATGATCTAAGAGAAGAACATGATTTTTTTTGTTTTGTTTTTTAAGACAGGAGAAAAGAGAGTGTAAGACTCGAATACGGACCCTCAGAGTTGAAGAATAATCCAACCACTCAGACAATACAACACTTGCAAATATTAAGATTAAAATACTTTTATCTTTAAATTATTATTATTATTATTTTTTAATTCTCATAAATTAAAAAAAAAAGAACTCGAATACGAACACACCCGCTACCTTAAAATCCCACCCAAATGCTAACCATTTTGCCTCATTCAAAGCACATTACAATCTTCATTTTCTAAGTTTCAATATCACTAAAATTAACTAAGCCAGATGCAAAACAAGTGTCACAAAAATCTCAAACCAACCCACCAAGAAAACACACCATGAAACAAAAATAACGCTACCGAAGCTCCCAAGTAATTAATAATTCTAGACCAATCTAGATAAGAATGGCACATCAGTATCCGATTCAGAGGGCAAAGTCTAACTGATCAAATGTTAAGGAATTTTCCACGTGTACAGTCCAGATCCATTCTCACTAAATTGGCGATCCGTGTGACCTCACAACCACCAATAGAAATCGAGCATTTTTCCACACAAGTCGTTACCTACTATAAATACCTGGAGGCACATTCATCTATCGTCACAGTTCAGCACTTAAGGTCACAATTTAGCCGTGTTTTTTCTGTGATTTGTGATGTCGACCACCGAGGGAGTTGATAACGCCACCGTGGAGCAGCCAACAGAGGCAGTTGCAGCGGCGGAGGAGCCTGTGAAGGAGAAGAAGCGTAGGGCTCCCAAGGAGAAGAAACCTAAAATTGCCAAGACTGCGTCTCATCCTCCTTATTTTCAGGTAATTCATGAATCAATTATTCATCTGATTTTAGGTTTATATGAATTTTGATTAGAGCCCTTTTGAGCATGAATTGAAATTGTTTGATCACTTATATGAATCTTTAATGGATTGGTGCAGATGATTAAAGAGGCTCTGTTGGCGTTGAACGAGAAAGGAGGTTCGAGTCCGTACGCGATCGCGAAATACATGGAAGAGAAGCACAAGGCGGTGCTTCCGGCGAATTTCCGGAAGATTTTGGGGCTCCAATTGAAGAACTCCGCCGCAAGAGGGAAGCTAATCAAGATCAGAGCTTCATACAAGTTATCAGAATCTGGTAAGAAAGAGAAAATAACTGCAAAGCCTGTGAGCAAGAAGACCAAATCAATCAACCAAACAAGTGATAAGGCGAAGAAGCCTGCAAAGAAGGTTGCGCCGCCGAGGAAGAGTAAGAGATCAACTCCGGCGAAGCCGAAGCAGCCAAAGTCCATAAAGTCCGGTGGGGCTAAGAAAGCCAAGAAGGCTACGGCCTAATTGTATATATATCTATATATATGAATAAATATGGTTATGTATGTGAATAGAGTAACTCCCCTCTATGTTAGTCTGTGTTTGCAGATGTTTTGAGTATATATGTTTTGTGTTCTGCAAAGCTAGGGTTAATGAGAGTGAACTTTTGTAGTTTGGATCACCATCTCTAGTTTGATCATTTCATATATACTGCACAACATTAAAATTTGAAATTTTTTATTTTTTAATTTCAATGGGAAGCATATAAGTGAGTGGATTTGGAGGGTATCAATGGTATTTCCAGTAACAAAGTTAACAATGGTCGTCTTTCAACGAAGACTTCGTTGCACGTGTCACTCTTAACAATTGCATTTACTTCAGTGTCATCTGGTGTGGGTCCTACCATCGGTCGTTGAGTTTTAATGGGCTGCTTAATCAGGCAAAGCCCAGGCCAGGGTCATGAAAGACATTGTTGCATTGGATCTTGCATTGCAGACGAGTATGTTGCGCCAAGCTTGGCAACCTTTAATTTGGGCTTGATCCATTAGCAAGGCGGCAATAAAAAATTATATTTTTATATATAAAAAAATTAATTTTTTATCAAAATTTTCAAATATTATGAATGGAAATGTAATTACAAATATAACACAGGATTTCATTTCACAAGTATTCTTATTTATGTACTTTTTTTTGTTTTTCAATAATTATACTAATATTGTTATTGGAAAAGTTACATTTTAAGTTTAAAATTTATTAAAAATGTGTTTTGAGATGTTTGAAAAGTATCGAATAAGTGATGAAAGTATTTGAGAAGTATCGAATATAAAATTATAGATACGTTTAAGAAGTATCGGACATATATTAACAAATATTCGATGAGACATGATAGAAGTATATCGACTTTGTAGAAGTATTTGTCCTTGGGTTCAAACTGGTTTATAATATTTAATATAATGCTAACTAAAATAGTTGAGCTCAAAATGAACGAATCAAAGGTCCTAGTAATCTTATTATAGTTCTTATTATTATTATTTTTTACAATTTGGAGTAGGTATGGGATGAACTGGGTGTATCACCTCATTAGTTTGACGGTCAATGAAAATTTAATAAATCAGTGTACGGAAAGCAATTTTTCATTGGCTAAATGTACCAATGAAATGGTATATTTGACTCACCCAATGTTTTTTCCTCTGCATTGATTTCATTTATTTTTCTTGTTGGAATGTGCTCAAAATCGAATCGAATTCTAAATTATCTTTATTTTACTTCACGATGGAAAGGGGAAGGGGTTCTCACTTCTCAGTGAGTCAGTGTAGCATTGAGGAAACATGGAAGCATATGAACAAATTACAAATATATCTTTAAAATGTGGGCATTATACAAATTTGAATTTATGTGAACAAATTTATGTGTTGCATATACAAAATAAGAATGTTGCAACTTCAAAACCATTAACTTTAAGGGTTTTGACTTAATTGGTAAGTCGCTTGATTTTGGTGTTTTAGGAATTATAAAATATATATATATATATATATATATATATATATATATATGAGTCGTGAGGCCATTAGCTACGGACCTACTCATGGCTTGTGGGCTTAAGTTCAAGGTCAGCGGAGCTATCTTCTTTGGGCCCCTAATTTTGGGTCATGGATCCATAGGGCCTGCCAATTGATTGGATCAGGGAATTCGAAGTTACTAATTGGGCTCGATCACTCAAACTAAGACCACACATTCGATTTACTGACTATAATAAACTCAAAAGTTTGGAATTTATTTTAATTTCAAAAGCTATAGGTTGTTACCTAAATTATTGTTTGATACTATTATTATTATTTTGTGTGAGAGTCATGTGTTGACCCATTAATTTTTATTTTTTCCTTAACGCTAAAGCACATAATGATTTGGTCCATTTTTTTTTTGAGGGAAGGGTACGAAATAAATTAGATGAATTTTTAGACCAAAAGTATTATGTGAAATCTTCAATTTTTAAATTTTATTAACTTAATGGTGAAATATCATGTTTCATAAATAGAATCCAAATTTGTAGTTTAAAAAATAGTAACATTTGTAAACGATCTCAAACTACAAAATATTTTCTCTCAAAATTACTCCAAACACATATTACCCTTTGTGGTAAAATTTTTTATTTGGTTAGAAAGTTGGTTGTTTTTTTGTAGTTCCTTAAATTATGGTCAACCAATATATTAATCGCAATTGATATATGGTTCATCTTTTTTTCAATCCACCTGTTTGAAAACGTCGCAAAAGACTAGTAGGGTCCATAATGTTTTGCCAATAGTTCCGACCAAGCCTGAGAGGGCATGTATAACAAATTCTTTTGGACAATCAACTGTAACAAGCACGTTGAGAAATGAGATATATATATATATATATATATATAGATAAACATATATTTTTATAATGGTTTTACTAAAGTTTCGGTGCATTCATTTGATTCAACATGATTGGACGTGTCATCTTTAGTGGGACGGTTTGGTGAGTCTGACAACTTAGCTACGTAGAAAAAGAAAATTAGGGTAAGAAGCAAATTACAGTTTACACTCCCGCCTTACTCTGATTCAATTTTTTGAAAATAATTATTTATTTTTAAAGAATTGAAATAAAAAATTATACAATAACTTGTTTGAATGTAATATGATAATAATTTATATATTATTTAAAGAACAATGATTTTGTTTAAGATTACAAGATAGATGCAGAGAGATTGAACTATTGAAACAAAAAAAGTTTTACATGTTTGAAGCCCACAGAAACCAAAAAAAGAAGAAGGTTTTACATGGTTTTAAAAATAAAAAATAAAACAAGTATTTTATTAAAAAAAACCATTGTTTCTCTTGTGTTTAACGTGGTTATCACTTAAAACCATCTTCAATTTTTTCACGGTTAAAAGGTAAAATTTTGTAGAAGAAAGTTGGAATATATGTTTTTGAGTTGATTATCATTTGTCACGTAAATAAATGTGTTAGAAATGTATAAATTTATTTATTTATTTATTTATTTTTTTTGACTATTGACGGAATCATTAATCTCTCAACAAAAGCCCAAAATAAGATAGGCAAAGCAACGCAATCAACTACAAATTAACTAATCAGCACAATAATTGAATCAAACAAAAACAAGTAGCCCAAAAAACTTATAGTGTACAGGTACCTAAATAAAGTGACAAGTGACAGTTCAGTTTGAGATGGACATTTTTTGCCTGGCATAGAAGAGGCGAAATATCACAAACATATCATGGTTTTTTAAATTTATAATAAACATTTTCTTTTTTCAAATGTTAAGCTAATGATCATTACTTAAATTCAAGTCCTAATATATATATATATGAATGATATAAGTATTACTAGTATGTGTTGCACTAGGAGGGAGGACATGTATTTGTATAGGGAGGGTCAAAATGTCCATGGAAATCGACAAGCGTGCTAACAGGAGCCACGGTGCACAGCGCATGCTAGACAAGCCGTGGACCCCACTTCGTATATGCATGCTTTACCCATGATCAATCTATTCAATCTAAAACCTATGTTTCTCATGCTTCTCTCCATTCCCTTAATCTTGTTTCTTTCTCACATGGGATGGGAGATTCCTTAGGCTATATATGTTTGTTTGATGAGGCTCACAAAATATTCTTTTGCTCTGTTTGGTTGCAAGCCAAAGCAAAAAATTAATTCAGTTTTCTTGAGTTTGAAAGTAAAGGACCTCATACCATTCAAGTTAAGAAATTTATTTTATTATTATAAAAAAATACTAAAAAAAGAAAAAGAAAAAAAAGAGTATAGGTAGTATCATGGTAGTAAATTTCGGTTCTCTAAAATGCTTTTAAAATTTTTTTGGAGTGGGGATTGTTTTTCCTTACCATATGGATAGGGGGTGTGACAAAATTTGGTATTTTGACAAGGTAATTTCAATAAGCTTCGATAAACCCCAATGATGCAATTTTTGAAGCGTGAGATCATTAATTTATTTTTCGGTAATTAATCATTTATTTATTTTTTTCCTTCGGTAAATGGTAAATTTATAGAAAAAGGAAAAAGAAGGAAAAAGCAACCACAAACAAGCAGCAAAAGAAGACCAAAGCCGAAAAAGACAGGAAATAAACACTACTAAAAATCAAACTAAAAGACAACTACAAGCCAAGAAACTCGTAATGCGATTGGTAGACAATATCGTGTTTTAATCACTCGTTTGCCTCCTTGTCTCTAAATGCATACACAAGCTTAATTAATTATTGAATTGCTAGCTCAAATTTTCGCAGACTAGAGAATAATTAAATTCCATTAAAAACTAATTATTATGCATAGTTAATCGACAGCAATTGAATTAACAACCTGAAGCATGCGCATTTGGGTTTGATATTTCAAATTTGTCTGCCGGTATATACATTTTGTGCTTAGGTTTTTTTTTTTTAGGTAATTAATTTTGTGTTTAAGTTATTGCAGCATGAAATGGAAATACGATGTTGTGATGATGATAACTCTTCTGCATTGACACTTATATGACCTACATTTTGTGAAAAAACATAAAAGTAAAAAAAAAAAATTGTTGTGATGATAAAAATCTTTTTTTTTTTTTTTTTTTTTTTTTGAAGGTATAAAAGTCTAGTTCTAAAATAAGTGTCATGCTTTTCTTTTTTATCTGTCCTAAAATAAGTGTCCAATTTCATTTTTCAAACAATATATTTCACATCTTTTCATATATGTCCTTTAAATTTAAAATTTCAAACTTAAATATTTAAAACTTAAAAGGACAAGTTATTAAATTTTCAGTGAGATAATGCATTTCTCATATGTTTCCTTAAAAATTACTACTCCCCATAAGCCACTAAGCGACACTTAAATTGAAACGAAGGGAGTAGTTGTGAAGTTCATAGAATTACTGAGATCAGGTGGAGGCCGCATGCCGGCGATTAAACTTTTTATTATTATTTATTTATGCTTAATAATTTATAAAATTTTACAAAATATATGCTCCCAGCCTCCCCTATTATATATATATATATATATATATATATATATATATATATATATATATATATATTTGATTCTTTTCAAAAAAATTGAATTTCCTTTTTTCAATCAAACTTACAAAAATAAATAAATAAAAAAGAAAATTTTAATAGAAACTGATACACCGAAGGTGTAGTTTAATTAAGGTGTATATATTTATTTCTGCATGGTTTATTTTGTTCATGTTTGTACATCCAGCTGTAAACAATAATTTCAAAGAGCACATCTACTACACACAATATTCAAGGTATATCTTATGTTTATACCAATGAATTAGGACAGAAATTCAGCCTCATCTCCACAAAACATTTTTTTTTTTTCGGTGAACATCTCCACAAAACATTTTCTGAACAATCATCAGTATATATAGCATGATTCAGTAATTAATTATCCAATTTCAAATAGCATATAAACCTTTTTTATGCGGGTATATATATATATATATATGCATGCCTTACATATGTGTACTTAATTATGTCACCAACCTCATCATACATGGATCGATCGATGTCCTCAAATTTATAGACTAGCTTCTTTTCTTTTACTCCATGTATGCATGTGAGATATATATATATATATATATATAATACGTAGTATAAGAAATTCAAGTGGTTTTTCTTCATAGTCATTCATATCCTAATGCAGGCGTGTGTGTGAGAAAGAGAGGGAGAGGGAGGGAAGGAGGCTTTTCTTCACTCAGTAGTCATTATATAATTCACAACCATATTTTTACAGAATATATATTGTCTTCATGATTCTTTAACCCTTACAAATCAAGAATTATATATATCAATATATATATATATATATATAACCTCTTTTTTACTTCAACTCGATCTCTTCATTTATTAAATATGCAAATTCCAATATCACGATCCGGGCTTGAACTCAAGAACCCATTTAACTTGATCCCTTCTTCTCTACCACTCTGCAAGAACAGCAATGGCGCCGTATCCGAATCATTATGCATTCCAAAGCTTGACACTCCCTCATCCTCATATCTGTCCTCTTGACTCAACTGGGAAGCAACAAACTTGTCAAGAGCTCTCCAATCGGTCACTTTCTTGTTGGTACTACTGTTGTTGCACCCTCTGATGATTTGTTCTTCTTCCTCATTATTTTCTGATAACAGAGATATGGATGAGCTTGGCCTCTTTATTAATGGCAGAGATGGGCTCTCTAGCTGAGGAAGCTGTATGAATTGATCAGAAGAGTGCATGAAATTCAAATTATCCGCTTCTATCTCTTGCTTGCACATGTAACTCTGAGCTAAAAAGTTCTGGGGCTGCCTTGTAACGTAATCAATTGGATCCACAACCGAGCTCATACCGCTTGCTTCCTCGTAGAAGTAGGCCGTGTCCCACCCTTCAATGCCCTTGCTTTGGCCTGTCGTTCGCTTCTTGAATGCTCGGCATACTACCCATCCTTCTTCCTGCAAGAGATAGTAAGAAATCGATCAACACGATGAAAGAATTAATAAAAAAACTTTTTTCATGTATATATTGGTCATGACAAAGTTTTACGCTGCCTGTCAATTAAGTTACCTAACACAACCCTCCTCCTTTATACGGACTTAAGACATAACTTTTTATACTTTATTTTAAATTTTCTTCGAAATTGGAATTGAAGAAAGCAATGCGCTATTGTTTAAATGCTCAGGCTGTCGAGGCTAAAAATTGATCGGCTTGAATATTCAAAGCAATCAGTACTCTTTGTAAATAAAGACAAAGATTAGGTTTACAATCAATCTGATTTTTCCAACAATGCTCATAAAGATCATCAATTAGGAAAAAGTAGAGTTTTTAAATCCTTTTTGTTAGACTCATGAGCACCTTTGACTACCCAAACATCTACTTATCTTTCCCACTATTCAAGAGAAGTAGACGTGAGCTACGGTAGTCAAAGGTGCTCATGAGATAAGAGGAGAAATGGAATTAAAATTTCTATTTGACAAGTTGAAGTAGGTGAAGCTCATACCAAAATGGACTTTGAAAGTATTTCATTGGCTCCAAAAGTACTAACTTTTGACTTAGAGTCTGAAAGTCGATCATCTTTATTCCAGACATTACATAGTGATATTTCATATGCATGCATGAAATCATAAGTGATTCCGTACCTCACAAGGTGGAAAAATGGTCCTGGAAAGTAATTTATGACTACAAGAACAAAATATATATATCTTATAGAGAAGTTAGGTTTCTATGAAGAATTTATGTCTAACTTTTCTTTTTTTCCTCTTTCCTTCGGTAAATCAACTTTCAGAGAGAGAGAGAGGAATTGATATATTCTGAAATCCTTTTCATTTACAAACATTTGAAAAAGTTCCTGAACTAGTAGTAGTAATGAAATTCAGACCTTTATATATCCATGCACACAAATCTGAAAAAATCCCATAATTTTCAGTCAACCCAGAGAGGCTGTTTAAATCTTTTTAGGATGTTGGAAGATTAGCTAAAGGGAAGATAAAAATATAAAATAAAATTTAGACACACACACACATCTGTTAGCTCAAAGAAAAGATTAGACATAGGTAAGAGTGTATCATTTGAGTTTTTGTAAGGGTAATGCTTGCCTGTGGAGGACCGTTCTCTTCGGATTCGAGCCTGTATTCATGCATGATCCAATCAGTTTTCTGTCCATTTGGTGCCCGCCCTCGGTAGAAAACGAGGGTTTTCCTCATGCCGATGAGTTTTGCCTTATCATACACAGCCTTGTCTCTCCCGGTTGCCTTCCAAAACCCAGCCATGGTAGCTCTGTTGGTCCTCGTTCCAGTCGGATACTTCTTATCCTTGTGGCTGAAGAAATACCATTCATTCTGCTCTTCACATCCGATTCGACACCTCTCTGCACATTACCATTCAGATCCCATTCATGTAAAAACCAAACCATTCAGTCTATCATTATAGTGGTCAAACTTCTTGAATTTATCGGTAGGATAATTAGGTCAGATTTGTTTAAAGAATATAATACAAAGAAATTTAATTTTCTGTAGGTGACACACTACATCTAGGTTTGAAGACAAAAATATTTGAGATCCAATTTTGAATCTAGGTGATTTGTATCTTCAAAGTTGAAATGGGCTCTTGTTAGACATATTTTTAGAATTATATATATAATTGAAATGAAACCCTAAAAAGAATAGTAACCAAAGAAAGAATTTGTACCTTGGAGATCCCATGGCTCAATTCTGTAGAGATCAATGTCTCTAATAACATCAAGATCAATCTTCTGCGACGCGACCTTCTTCCTTAGATAGTACCCTACGAGCTCCTCATCCGTTGGATGAAACCGAAACCCGGGGGGAACACATGATTCCATGGTGTCCATCATAGTTGAATAGGTGATATGACTGCATCAAATTCACCACCACCACCCCGACAACCACAATTCCTTTAGTACTGATATATCATCTTTAAATCATAGCCAATTAATATAGATGAACAAAAAAAGCTAGCTATCTAAAAGGTAAAGAGAGAAAAAGAAATATTTGTGTGTAACCCTACAGTTGAAAAGGTAACCAAGTGTTATCAGATATAATCATAAGCTCATTTGGTGGTGAGCAACACTCACCAATTTTTATGTGTGATAGCAAATAAGCGCGTGTTGGATTAAAAATGCCTCATCTTTTACCATACAATGATTCTTATGGGGGATAAAAGAGGAATGATATGAAAAGGAAAGGAAAAACCAAATGATGATATGAGGCTTTGTTTATATATATATATATATATATATATAAACCAAGCTAGAGAAGTTGGAGCTGAGTCTAACTCTTTGTGCAGTGCAGGTCTGAAGAAACGGACAAGTAGAGGTTTGTGCTAATGATGTTGTCTTGTGTTGGTGAATGGTGGAAATGATGCATCAGGAACGGGGGTTTGATAACTATAGCTGTATTATACTACGTATACTATATATATATATATATATATATATATATATAAATTTATACTATACGGAGTATATGTTTGTGTGCATATTTATATATAACTAAAACAACCCCCCCAAAAAAAATGAAAAGGAAAAACAAGAATATTAATATTTAATGGGTTAAGTTTGAAACATAAAATAAAATAAAATAAACTTGGTGACCAATTAATTAAGATCGATAAACTATTAAATTAAAATTAATAATTTTTGTTGTTCAATTACGAATAAAGTTTTAATTCCAAATGGATAAGAAGTGGATGACGTTATCACAAATTAGCACGCGTTTGTCGGCAGAGAAAAGGTGGGGGGCAAAAAGAAGGTCACCGTTTCATTGGATCAAAGTCTGAAAAAGCAATGAATATATATATATATATATATATATATATATATATATATATATTTATAAACTTGAAATTAAGAAAACAGTCTAGGAGGGTTTGATGTCCATTTCAGAAATTGGAGTCTGACCCTGTTGTCTGTTTGTCTAGAATTTTCATGGCATTTCTGACCCTCATTCTTTGACAGAGGAGGAAATGTTTGTGGGTATATATAAATATATATGTTTGTTTGTTCTTACTTTCAAATCATCAAATGTTGTTCAAATTCATCCAAGATTGGGCGAATTCATGGTACGGGGTATAAAGCTGTTTGTGACACAGACTCACACACGACTCACACACACACGCACCGACGCAGAGGATTCAACTCAGTTGACTGCAACTTTCAGTGGGTAGATGAACTTTATGTTTTTTTTTTTGTAAGGTAATTAATTAAGTAAATGATGAAACTTATATATAGTGGGTGTGCACAAAAAAATGAAAACATTTCATGATGGAATTAGAAAATAGAAAAGGAAAAGAACGAATTTAAGAGAATAGGGTGAGTTCATTCTGAATCTTTACATCAATGCAGAGAACTGACCACTCAAATTTTCATTCAACTATCATATAATAAAACCTTATTAATTAATTTATCATATTATATTCTTTTATACATGCAATTTCCTCTTCAAGACATACAAAAACTTAAGAGATTGATGTGTGTTTGTGTGTGTGTGAGAGGGAGAGAGATGTAATGTTGATGAAGATTAATATAGGAAAGTAGTGAATGAAAAACAAAGCCTTTAGAATGAATGAAAAGCAAATAAATTAAACAGTACCCTAGCAATCTCCTCAGCTTATTAATTATATATACAAAATGTAGAGACACTTTAGATTGTCGTGAAGACCACCGAGAGAGACCTAGTACAGAAACACAAACATTAAACATCGATCGATCCCGGTAATTAAGGAGTTAAAACTTTGAATAGAGTTTAGAAAATAAAAGATAGAGAAGTGTTGAAGGGAAGAGAAATACTATATGTGTATGTCTGTATGCATGCAGTGCAATTAATTAAGTGAGCTTACCTGAAGAGGGAGGTGGGTGTTGGCTTGTAGAGTATTAATTACTCGTTTAAGACAGAAGGAATGAAGAGGAAGAAGACAAATTAAGGAAGAAGAAGAAGGCAATGAATTCAATGAGAGAGAGAAAGTGTGAGTTAGAGAGAGAAATTTCCGTTAGGAGGGAGAGAGGTGAGAAATATAAAGGGAGGTGGTGAGGGAGAGGGAGGACCGCTCGATCAATTGCGCATGGGGTTGTCTACTTGTCTTGTCCCCATAGCTATTTGACGTCACTGCCTCTCTTCTTGCTGTAATTCCCTTTCAACCTTCCTAATTTCTTTAATTTATCAAATTCTCGTTATGACGAGATCGCGAGAATTTGAGTTTTTTTTAATAATTTTTTTATTCTGGCAAATTATTGGAAGGGAAACTTATAACAGGGGTGGCTACCAATCGGATTGAATCGGATTAGGTTCTTAATCCGATCCGCTCTTAATGAATTGAAATTTTTTGAATCCGCCACCAAATCATTATCCCACTGATCAAATTCGTTGAATGACGGATTGGATTGGATTGGATCCGCAGATTGTGATTTTTTCTAATTTCATATTATTTATTTTTGGGTGAATTGCAAAAAACCTCTCGACTTTCACCCGTTTGCAAAAAAAACCTCTTATGAATATCTTTTGTAATTAACCCCTTTCAACTATCATGAGGAGTTATTTTAACTAACATCTGTTAGAGTTATTATATGAGGAAAATTTTCGGATGAAATTACCTTTAGAATGAAAACAATACATTAGTATTATTAAAGTACTCACCACTAAGGTTTTTTTTAATATTTTTTAATATTTTATTTAATTTTTTTTAACTACATAAAACATTAAAACGAGATATCTAATTTTGAAACGGGGCCTTTGATTTTTTCTTTCCAAATGTTCTTGCATTTGGAATATATATAATAATATGGTAGTTATTTATCAAATGTCAACTTAAATTGATTTTGGTGGGGAAAAAAAAAAAAAAAAAACTTGTACCATGATTTTTTCATAAAATAATATAAAGAAAGATAGATATATATATATATATATATATATATATATATATATATATATATATATATATATGAGAGATCCAAAAATATCATTACCATGATTTTTCATAAAATTTAAAAGTATAAATTTATAAAATTCTAAAAAATTATGGATATAGCATACCCAAAATAAAATAAAATGAAGGCGTCCACCATAATATCAAAACAAAACCCCCTCCCACACCCCCCTAAAACATATTTCACAATGTTTTTTATTTTTTATTTTTTTATAGTCAAAAGATATTTCATTTAAATAACAAATATTTGTGTGGACTATTTTTAATTATTTATTTATTCTGTAGAAAAAACGTTTATTATGACATAAAATTTGATTTATTTCAACATCATAAATCTTAATCCAATACTTTTCTATTAAATTGTGATATGCTACACACACACATACACACACATATATATTAGGAAAAGGCATGTGCGATGCATGCACGTAGTTAGTGTTTTGTAACTAATAGAATTTTCTAATTGTTGATTTGAAGTAGGTAACAATAAATCTTACAAAAAATCGCAATTTTTTGTAACTCATTTTATATTAATTAATAAATATTTTTTATATATTAATAAATAAATACTGAAATATTTTGAAATTGGTGGTAGAATTTGAGTTTTGTAAAGTAATATTTTTTTTAGGTTTTATATTAATACTAAAATATTTATATTTTATTTTTATTTTAATACTGAAATATTTGAGTTTGTAAAGTAATAAATTCTTTTAGATAATTTGAATTTTATTAGGTAATTTGTAATTTGAATTTTTAAGGTAATATTTAAAAAATTATTTATATATATAATAGTATAGATTTGAATTTTATTAGGTGATAGGGAAAAATAAATCTAACCTATTTTAACCAGCCGCCAGACCTCTTCGACTTTCGAACGATAATATTTCATTATCAAAGATAAAGATTTTCATCGGATAAGAATGATAACATTTTTTATCCAGGATAATAAAATACGACGTGGTTCAACATGGTAAGAATAACCTTGGCACAATTTGAAAAAGTCAAAGGAGTAAATCATATTCCGATAAATCTGGTAACAAACAATCTCCTTTGATCTCGCACAAACGGATCTCCTCTGATCTCGCAAATGAACTAAGGGAAAGCAGCTATAAGAATGAGATCCTACTAATCGATAAAGGTATAACAAAAAATGATTATTAAATCCCTTCCTTTCTTTTAGACCTCCGGTGATTGACTTGATCGTCGGAGAGCTCTTGGTAGGCACCACACCGGTGCCGTCAAGCTTCATCGATCTTCTACTCTTTTCTTTGTAAGAAAATGGTGCCGTATTGAACCAGGTGGATTTCTCCCCCAACAGTTGGCGCCGTCTGTGGGAACAACGATTCCTTTAAATCAATTACTCGGTTGGGTATATGCACTTGCGGTTCGGTATGGTAACTGGAAAAGAAACATCGTTATAGGGATCCAGTCAAAGAGAAGGGTCGGGTGAACATCCAGATGTCCCGAATGACCAGGAACGGCTTGCAGTGTTAAAACTACAGGTCCAAACTCTGAATCAGGGTATGGATCAGTTGATCCAGTAAAATACAAAGATCTTGCAACATCTTATCCCAGCGGGACCACCGTCTCAACAAGAATTGTCTGACCCATATCCTCCCAATCTGAATGATGGGGGACAACACGAGAAGGACTGAGAAAATAATCCTTCTCACAAATTCGAGGCAGAACAAAGCCAAGTCAGAAACTGACACAGAGAACCTCCTTCCCCGTCTCCGTGGAATCCCAAGTCTCAAACAGGTACAACCTTCTGTGTTAAGGAAAAGACAAAGAAATTTACCTATTTCGATTTACAGATCGAGGATCTTAAGGCGAAAATGGAGGATATAATGTAGGCTATGAAAGGGAAAGGTATTACCGCCATAGATGACTTGGTGTAAAAGACCAACTTACCGTTTAGCCCCGCTGTTATGAAATGCCCACTGCCTAGTAAGTTCAGGATGCCCTCGTTCGAAAGCTTCGATGGGACCAAAGATCCCCTCGATCACCTTGAAACCTTTTAAGCTCTTATATATTTACACGCCATGCCAAATGAAATCATGTGCTGAGTTTTTCCCACTACACTTAAGGGATCAGCAAGAGTTTGGTTCAACAAGCTGAAGCCAGGAACCATTAACACCTTCGAAGAACTGAGTAAGCAGTTTGTGAGCCACTTCATTGCAGGTTAGAAGTATAGGAGGCCGGCCACCTACCTGCTTATCATGAAGCAACAGAAGGAAGAGTCGATATGAGAATACATCACTCAATTCAACATAGAGATGTTGCAGGTAGAAGAGGTGGACGACAAGATAGCTTTGACCGCTTTCATAGGAGGACTCTAAACCTCCAGATTCTTGTTTTCCTTATCAAAAGAACCTCGCACCAACATGGCAGAGTTGTTGATCACAGCGTAGGAACACATGAACGCTAAAGACGCCATGAATGCACGGATGGAAAAGGAATGAGAGGACAAGAAAAGGTCTACCCTTC